GCATGACCACTCAAGAATCAATGGACTTCCTTTTCAAATGATGTTGCTAAGAAAAAAAAATTTAAAAAAAAACTGTCAAGCCAGAAACTAAGCATGGGAAGGAAGATGACCTTAATGATGAGCATAAGAAAAAGATACTGAAGAGAACTCAAGAGGAGAGCATTAAATGTGTGGGCCACAGGAAGCACGTGGTTAACTCTGCTCTGTCCTCTACAGCTCCTGTGAACTCTTCCTCTCCATGACATTCGTCAGAAGATTAAAACCTGGTAAGACCTGATCTGCACATATAGAGATTATAGCAGTGTGCAATTATTCTATTACTTGATACATTGTATCCATCCATAATCAGTGTTTAACATTATTGACCTTCCCTATTTAAACGATAGGTTCTTAGAGGGCAGTGTTGACACCTTTGCACTCAGCACCTGTTCAATAACTATCTGTGTAGTCCTTGTTATCCACATCAGAAAGCAAGCCAGTGTGAGGTTCTGGCTCCTTGCATTCTTATGAACTACTGTATTATTCAATTTCTTGTCTTTGGAAGACAACCTGAGTCACCATCTTCCTTCTTACAATCACAATGAAATTAATAAGTATAACCAGCACAGCTTGTTTCAGTGTTCAGAGACCGTGTGCTCAAAGGTGCAGAAAGGTCTGTAATGAATGGAATATCTCTTCATAGGGCTGAACAGTAGGGTGATTACTATGGCAGCCAGTCTTGTATGTGGGAAGAAGTTTCAAAATATGAAATAATATGAATTCAAACCTAAATATCTCATCTTAAGAATTAAGAACTCTATATAAATTCAAGTTTAAGATTTATAAACATATTTTCCAAAACACTGCTCAATGTTCTTAATAATTGGTGTTAGAATTACAGCACTAAAACTTCTAAGATGATAAAATGTAAATAAATTTGTTTATGTATAATAATTATATTATTAATGAAGACAAATTTATAAATTTGGCAAAGTAAACAAATTTAGTTTATTTCAAGTAAATCCTTTTCTGGTGGGACTGGGGACAGAGTCTAGGGACTGCCCATGTTCAGCACACCCTTAACCGCTGAGCTGTGTCTCCAACACTTGTGCTGTTGCTTTTGTTTGTTTTTGTTTTTTTCTTTTATTTTGGCTTTATTTTACTTTTTTTTGAGGTTATAATATCATTACATCATTTCTCCTCCCTCCAAACCTTTCCACAACATCCATCCTTGCTCTCATTCAAATTCATGGTCACTTTTTTCATTAATTGTTATTGCATGAATGGATATGGATATTATATTCCTAAATATAACCAACTGAGTCCATACAATGTTACTTGTCCTTGTATTTTCAGGTCTGACCATTTGGCACTGGACAACCGATTGGTATACTCTTCCCTGGGGAGGTCCACCTCTCCTGCTCCCAGTTTTCCTCAGTTGTCTATAGTTCTTTGTGTAGAGTTGAAGCCTCATGGGCTTTTCTCCATCAAGTTTGGCACATTTATTGGTGTTATCCTTGTTCATCTCATGCTTTGGCAGTCATGTTGCTGAGATTTTAAGGATGTCCCTTCTGATAGTCCTAGGAGTCACAGTCTCATAGCAAACTCCCTGATCCTTACACTTACAATGTTTCCACCACCTCTTCCACAGTGTTCCCTGAACCTTAGGTGTGGGCATGTTTTATAGATATATCTAATGGGACTAGGATCCACAATTCTGCACTTTGATTGGCTGTCTTTTTTTTTTTTCTAATGGTCTCTGTTGCAAAGTTAAATTTTCTTGATAAGGGGTGAGGACTACATTCAACTGTGGGTATGAGAACAAATATTTAGAACATAGTTAGGAACTATGCTGGTTTAGAGAGGTGTTATTTTAGACAAAGTCTCCATCTGTGGCCTAATCTGGCCCCAAACTCAGGGCAATCTTTTTGCCTCAGCCACCCAAGTACTGAGAACTCTGAGCATAAGCTGCCATGTCTGCCTTATATCTTTGACTTTAGTTATATCAGGATATCACCGTGCAGTTCAAGCTGGCCTTGATCCTCCTGTGCAGCACAGCCTAGCCTGCACCTCAGGATCCTCCAACTTCAGTGATCCAAGTGCTAGGATTATAGATCTATCATATCCAGTCTCTTTTGTTTTAAATACTGTAAGCAACTGACATTCGTGGAAAGATTAACCTTTTAATGCTGAAAATGTCTCACAAAAAGCAATATTTTATATAAAAACTAATTTATAACTCTATATGCATAAATATTATAACAGTTCACACTTACTGCTGACTTGGCAGAGCTAGAGTCACATGCTGCTCCATACCTGTGAAGACTTTTCTGCTTTAGGTTAATGCAAGTGAGAAAAGCTGCTCTAAAGTTGGTAGCACCAGCCCGAGGCTTGTGGCCCCTGCCTATCTGGATAAAAAGGAAAAGTCAAGCTGAGAACAAGCATGCATCTTTTTCTGTTTCCTGACTACTGATATAGTGAGTTCAACCACCTCAAGTTTCTGTGCTGTGTGCTCCATGCCAAGGTGAATAATGCCAAGGTAAGCCAACATGAACTCTTACTTCATGAAGTGTCTCTTGTCAGTTATATTATCGTAGCAACAAATAGGTGGCAGATGATATAGATTTTATAGATAGATGATGGATGGATAAGTAAGTAGATGTTAGATAGATAGATAGATAGATAGATAGATAGATAGATAGATAGATAGATGATTGATAGATGATAGATAGATAGACAGATAGATGATTGATAGATGATAGATAGATAGATAGATAGATAGATAGATAGATAGATAGATAGATGGTACACGATAGATAGACAAATAGATAATGATAGATATATAGATAGATAGGTATTGAAGATTGTCTCTGTCTATTCATCTATCATCTATCTACCTTTCATATATCAATCTATGTATCAATTACCTCTCTGTTATCTAGTACAGCTTGTTATCTATCTATCTACTTACCTGTCAATCTGTTATGTGTTATCTTAAGAATAAGAAACACAGCATCCCAAAGGATATCAAGAGTTTTGAGAATGGTTTTGGTTCCTGCTACTTCCCCGCATCTGGTGGGACTCCACACACACACATCTCATGTGGGTTGGTAAGAGCTGGTGCAGTGCTGTGTCTTGCTTCACATAATACCCCCTCCTGTACTTTAGAACCTATGACCTTTTAATTGCTCTGTCAGAACTGGTATCTCTTCTTCAATAACAAACTTAAGTGTTCTCCAGACAACTTCAATATCCAGAGGAGAACGTGGCCTCAGGAGTCTTCTTCTGACCCTTGTTTCCACTTGCCATTCCACTTGCCAGACCACAGTGACAGTACAGTGACACAAAGTAGATCTGCAGGTAACCAAGTCTTTGAGAATTCTGTTTCCCAGAGTCAGTATCACCCAGCAACTCAAACCAAAGTATTTGCTCATGGTGCACTCTCTATATAGACAAAAGCCTAACCTAAACACGTTGGGAAAATCAAAATGACACATGTTCTTTAACAATCTGGACATGAACTTAAAGCTGCAAAATAGCAGGAATTAAAGTGTAACTCTCTCAAAACTCAGACCCTAGTATGTCACTGTGTCTGAGCAAAATAAGATAATTCCTATATTTATTATCATTACCACCAATTGCTGTGGGATGTTCTGTATGGCAAATGTGTTGCTCTGATTGGTTAGTAAATAAAACACTGGCCAGTAGTCAGGCAGGAGGAAGTATAGGCGGGACAAGGAGAAGAATAAAGCTGGGAAGTGGAAGGCTGAGTCAGAGACACTGCCAGCCGCCACCAGGACAAGAAGCATGTGAAGATGCTGGTAAACCACGAGCCACTTGGCAAGGTATAGATTTATGGAAATGAATTAATTTAAGCTATAAGAAGAGTTAGCAAGAAGGCTGCCACGGTCATACAGTTTGTAAGCAATATAAGTCTCTGTGTTTACTTGGTTGGGTCTGAGCAGCTGTGGGACTGGTGGGTGAGAGAGATTTGTCCTGACTGTGGACAAGGCAGGAAAACTCTAGCTACAACCAATGGATTGCAAAAATAAGTAAGACATAAAAAGACATTCAATAAAATTCTAAGTAGGAGTTAATCTTTTAGGAATCAAGTGAGACTGTTCTGTAGATACATGCAACCAATTATAAAGAAGTGACACCAGAGTCCAATGACAATAACTGATTAATGTATACACAATAATTTGTTTAGCAATGTTACATAAATCTCTGAACTAGAGAAGACAAAGTATCTTCATAGTCTAGTTACCTCAGAATTCATATTATCACAACAATCCCTGGTTATGTTGCCAGAAACACGTTTAGAAAAAGTAGCTGCTCATTTACACCTAAAGCTTTTGGATTATAGGGAGAGGTGTCACAGGGAATAGTGATTGCAATAGCATAGCTATTGTGACAATCATATATGAAAATAGTCTACAAACCATTCTGAAACACTTGGAGGAATTAGTGACTTGATAGTTACACTGTAACAACACATCAAGGACTTTATGATAAGAAAACAAAAACCAAAAAAGTACCATGACCTTTGAAAACATTTATAGCACTTTTGCCTAATGTTGGGTGAGACGTGTGCACTGCACTGTATGTGATGTATACACAACCAATGTCCATTGCACACAAACACATTGTCCTCATTGCTACAGATTTAAAAATGTATGTGCGCTATTCATCTTATTCCCTCAAATCTATGTTAGATATAAGTTAATATATTTTGATAATTCAACATATTTAACTATTGAGATGGATACATTTTAACATGAAAATCAAAATCGGCAATGAATTTCATAGTTTTTTTTTCTTATTTGAGCTGGTTATCATCTGAACTCAAGATAAATCTATTTTATGAACTAAAAGTAAAATAATGATAATACCATAAGGGACTAGAGGGATGAGAGTTAGGTAAAGCTGAATTAGTTTCTCACCAAGTACACAGTACAAGTACAGAAAATATTTTGGAAAAAAATCTGTGCTGTTTAATTTTAATAGAATAAGAGATAAATTACCTTAAACATTTAACTTTGGTAGAAGCCAAAGTCTGAGTCGCATGTTGTCTTTCCAGCAAAGATAAAGCAAAGCTTCCTGGGAGCAAAAGAATCAATATGATATTGTAGAGAGTCATAACAATTAACCCAAATCCTTACCACAGTGCAGGTGTTGTCCCGTTTTACATGGGGAGGCCAACCTTCACTTTGTGCTCCAGGTGAACAAGTCCTAAATCCTACACAAACACAGCTCATCTCCCCTGCTCAATTCTTGCAAAAGGGGGAAGGAGAGGAAAACCAAGGTCTAAGATCACGACTTTGGTTGAAGTACTTACTCATACTCTTTCTTAGTTTTGCACTGGGGAGTAAAATCTTGCACATCCGTGCTCTTCAGTGAAGCTCTTGAGCAGCAGTGCTCTAACACAGCTGTGATGTGTGATTGAGGCTTCTGCAAAGTCATTATTAAGTTGTATCACAGTAAGTCAGTTTGAAGTATAGTGATGGATTTCATAGATTCTCTGAGAGACATCATGCACTCATTTAAAGAGGAAATAGTCTGCTATCAATACCTGTGTGCAGGATAGTAAAGATACATTTGAATAGGGTCCACATAATTAGATAGTCACAGCTACATGTTGAGTCTACAGTGAGGTAGTTACTCTCCTTCTAAGTAAAAATGGGTATTTTTCAGAAGGTTTAAAATCTCATGCTCTGCAGAAGAGAAGCTACAACATTCAGAATCCTGGAGAAGTAATCTGATATAGTCCAAATAAACACTCCTGTCTGTCACATAACCTTTAATTATAATATGCAACTGTAATTTCACCTAATTAGAAAAGGTGAACTCAATTTTGAATTGCAAATTATTCATTTTATGGAAGCTTTTATGAAATTAAATCCTTGTCAGACTGACAGACTCAGTCAGTGTGGAATGAGGTGCCCTATGATGTGAGAGTTTTGATTAATCAGCGAGGCATTCCAAAGGCTGCTTGCTGGAACCATTTACTGGTTTTAATGCCAGTTAAAGACAAGTTTTCAATTAAAGTTTCCATCATTGTGTAGGAACCAGAACTCCAGCCCTGTCCAATCTCCCTGAACTTACCCATACTTCCTCATGAGTAAGTGGGGATCAGAAAAATCACCTCCTGTGAAATAATAACTTCATTTGAAATCATAAGAAAATAATCTCCTCATGAAGGGTGTTTTAACTGAGTTTAATTGTAATTAATTTAGGATTGAAAGCCTTGGACTTATAGTTATACCAAGAATGACAAAAATCTTTATAAATATAAAAGTGTAGAAAATTCTCTAGTTTTGTGACATGAAGATATTAAATCACCATTGGTTGAATGAGTGTGTTCATGTTCAATAAAAGCAAATTTAAAGAACTTAAAAGAAATAAGAAGCCTTAAATTTCCACAAACTTCCATAAGGCCTGCTCTGACTAATTAATTCCAAGTGAACAAACGTTGTCTACATGACTAGATGTAAATAAAGTGGTCAGAATTCTATTCTATACAAAAGCCACAATTAAAGGCCCTTCAGAGGCAAAACTGACTACAAAATTACATATACGAGAAGGAAACTTTTAAGGTTCTATATAAATAGAAATAAATTAGGCTTCAAGTTTAAGCCATTCTGAAGTTTATTCAAATAAAAGTGTACTGAAATTAAAATAATTCCCTTAATAAACAGACATACTTACACTAGGCATTCAGGATGCAGATGCAGGAGAAGCAACAATTAATGGTTATTCTTGGCTGTAAGGGGAACTTGAAGTCAACCTGGGCTCCATGATGCTATCTTAAAATACAGTTTTTAAATCAATGAAATAGTGGCTTGGGAGATGGCTCAGAGATTAAGAGCACTTGGTTCTCTCACAGAGGACCTGAGTTTCTTTCCTAGCACTTACTCCAGACACTCTCAAGTCTGTAACTCCATTTCCGGAGGATCTGATGCCCTCTTTTGACCTCTGTGGGTACTGCAGGCACTTGATCTACAAACACACCCATGCACACAGACACAAATACATAAAATAAAATATTAGTATCTAAAATTCTAATAAAATAGTCATACTTAACAAACTTTCATTATCATTAAACAAACAGAAAGATTGGGGTATTAAATAAAATATAAACAAATGTAGAGTTTAGTTTTCCATATTCTACAGACATTGCCAATATCCTTCTTCATTACTAACACATAAATAACTTCAAAAATTATCAATATGAAGCTCTTTACCACATAACATACAAAAATAATATTGCTAAGTGGACCTCTATACTGTGTGTTGCACTTTCTTTTTCTATAATGTAGTGAAAGTCAATAAACCAGAACAAGACAGCAAGCAGAGACACTCTATTCTGTTTTCTAACAGTAGTCCCCAAAGATAAGAAATAACACTTTAATATTGGTAACTTTCTCACAGAATTGTTTTCTTTCTCACACACAATTTCAAAAGGATGTGTACAAACTTCTCAGTCCCGCTGTAAAAACTCATCTTGCAGAAAATTCCCTGGCCTGAAGATTGGGCAAGAAGAACTGCAGGCCCTTTAAACCTTCAACAAGGGTTGTGCTTCTGCCTTTTCATTCTCCTGGAGATTTGGGTAAGAGTTAATGAAAGTAGATAATGCGAACTTTATCCAACTTAGAGCAACAAGAGACAGCTTCTAAAGGAATGCCAAGAGAGAAAACGTGTAACTCACTAAGAGAGAAACAGTCTAAGAAAACCATGTGTGGGTCTCATTTCATTGCAATCAGCAAAAACATATACGTACAACTGTATTTATGCCTACTCTGCACCTGTGGTGAATAAAGAGAAAAGAACTATGTGGGACAGCATGAAGAGAACACACATCCTTAGGAAGACTCACTACACCTCTGGAATCTAGTTTAGCACCATACATTAATCCCCAGAGCCTTCCAGACTGGACTTACTTCTTTTGAGGCTCTCCATACAGTGATGAACTGAATGTTCATACTGTTGCAAATCTGATTTTTCTATGTGACTAGTATCTATTGTCTCACAGTTTGTCTGATCCCTTAGTCTTCTGGGTGTAGCACAAGAGAAAAAATACCCACCTTGTGGAGTGTTAGGTTGTGTAAATTAATGCATGTACACTTTTGTTTGTTCTGGGTCTGGTATGAATTATATTCTCTTTTTTTTTTTTTTTTTTTGGTTTTTCGAGACAGGGTTTCTCTGTGTAGTTTTGCGCCTTTTCCTGGAACTCACTTGGTAGCCCAGGCTGGCCTCGAACTCACAGAGATCCACCTGGCTCTGCCTCCCGAGTGCTGGGATTAAAGGCGTGCGCCACCACCGCCCGGCTGAATTATATTCTTAATAAATACACATATGTCTTTTGTATCTCCTAAGCAGATCAGAAAGCCTTTTGTTTGCTTTGTTCCTTTTTTTTGAGATACAGTCTCAGTGGTGGAGCCCAAATCACTTGTAACCAAGTACGTCCTTGTACTCAGTCATCCTCCCACCTCCACTTCCTAGGGGCAAGGTGTTTTGGGAGAGGTGTGTGACAACAAATCCAGTTTCAGTATACTAGAAATCAAACCCAAGGCCTGATACCTTCTAGGCTACATCCCCATCCAATAAAGTAGAAACGGTACATAGATTTTTAAAAGGGAGAGAAAATTAAAACAATAGGAAATGACTGTTATTTCCATAGCCCATAACTGCCCACAAAGAATAATCAAAATAAATACAAACTGTCCCATTAGAAACAGAAATCAATTAGAAAAAACACAGAGGCATCCCCAAATACCTTCCTCAGACAAGAAGTATTGCTATATTTGCAATCTCATCATCTATAATCTTATTATTGAAAGGGAATGACAAATTGCTTTTTAAAAGTTGGATTCTGTGACTGACAATATTTTTGTAAATCTTTGTTACTTTGGGTTTAAATAAATTGATAGTGGCACCAATGAGTTATTTTCATGCCTAAAGCTATTCAGTATCACCAGTGTTTAAAATTTCTCTGAGGACCATCTACAGAAGAGCCCTATGACAAGTCACAATGAACTAGAGACAGCGCGTCATGGCTCTAAGAAACTCATAACTACGCAGGTCATGTAATGAGTAAGAGATCCACCACAGCCAGCTCTGATGTTGTCCACAACATTATACAGAGTTCTACATACCACACCAAACAAAGCTGTTGGGGCTAGAGAGACTTCCCTTCAGAACAGTGGTCCACTGGTTTGGGGAGTCCATTCCTACAGTCTCTGGGGAGGGAGGCAGGAGGGTCAGGAGTTCAAGGCTGTTTATGGACACATAGTTTATCTGAGGTATTAGAATCATATGATTATGGGGTATATAATGTAATGCACTGTGGTTTCTATGCATCTGTGGTTTCTGCTCTGCTGATGTGATGGGTCTGCACAGAGAAAATTTGAGACATGTTTTTGCTCAGTTTCTGCTATTGAGCTAAAGTAGTCTCTATTTCAGTTTTGTAGAGTGGTGAATTCATTGTCTAGTGCCGATGATGCCCTCAAAGTTAGCCTGTGGCATGTGACCCCTTTGATGGATTCAGACAGAAGAAGCTGAGTTCTTTTAAGGAAACTGTCTTCAAGGAAAATTTTTTATATGTATTTTTATTTTATAATTAACTTAATTTCACCTATCAGCCACATATTCCCCTGTCCTCCCTTCTCCCACCCCCCCCAGCCCTCCCTCTCAATCCACCCCCCCATTCCCACCTCCTCCAAGGCAAGGTCTCCCCTGGGGAGTCAGCCCAGCCTGGTAGACTCAGGCAAGGCAGTTCCAGTTCCCTCCTCCCTACACCAAGGCTAAGGAACGTGTCCCAACATAGGCCCCAGGCTCCAAAAAGCCAGCCCATGCACCAAGGACATGTCCCGGCTCCACTGCCTGGGGGCCTCCCAAACAGTTCAAGCTAATCAACTGTCTCAGTTATCCAGAGGGCCTGATCCCGTTCCATGGGGGCTCCTCAGCTATTGGTTCACAGTTCATGCATTTCCACTAGTTTGGCTATTTGTCCCTGTGCTTTTTTCAATCATGGTCTCAATATCTCTCGCTCATACAATCCCTTCTCTCTCTCGCCAATTGGACTCCTGGAGCTCCACCTGGGTCTCGGCCTTGGATCTCAACATCTGCTTCCATCAGACACTGGATGAGAGTTCTATCATGACAGCCAGGGTTTTCTGCCATTCGATCACCAGAGCAGGTCAGCTCAGGCACTCTCTCGATCATTGCCAGTAGTCTACAGTGGAGGTATCTTTGTGGATTTCTGGGGCCCTCTCTAGCACTCTGCTTCTTCCTATTCCCCTGGGATCTTCATTCATCATTGGTATCTCCCTCCTCGTTCTCCCACTCTGCTCCTGATCCAGCTGGTACCTCCTGCTCCCCTAAGCTCTCTTTCCCCCAACCCTTGCCCCCCATTACCCACCCCCATCCCCAGTTTGCTCATGTAATCTCATCCATTTCTCTGTCGTTGGGCGATCCCTGTGTCTTTCTCAGGGTCCTCTTTGCTAGGAAGCCTCCCTGGAGTTGTGAGTTGCAGTATGGTTATACTTTGCTTTACATCTAGAATCCACTTATGAGTGACTCAGACATACCATGTTTGTCTTTCTGAGTCTGGGTTACCTCACTCAGGATCATTTTTTCTAGTTCCATCCATTTGCCTGAAAATTTCATGATGTCATTGTTTTTCTTTGCTGAGTAGTAAGTACTCCATTGTGTGTATGTACCACATTTTATTTATCCATTCTTAAGTTGAAGGGCATCTAGGTTGTTTCCAGGTTCTGGCTATAACAAATAATGCTGCTATGAACATAGTTGAGCATGTGCCCTTGTGGTATGTTTGAGCATTCCTTGGGAAAATTTAACCACAATCCCTCAGTGAAACTAAAATCACCCCCAAACACTTGTCATGAAGGACACGATGATGTATACAAGCACACTCAGAAGGTGTAGGGTGGGGAAAGAGGACAGACAATACTTGTATCATGAACTACACATTTGCTACACCATACAAACCCACACTTGACTGTCAATCAAAGCAGTGTAAAAATCTAAATCAGGAAGAACAAATTTATGAAGCTATTTCTATGTCTCCTAGAATCCCAAACTGCTGAGAGAAGCAATAAATGTCAAAGCCTAAGCAAAAGTCTATCAAATGTAAGCTTAACTGTGGGGGTCAGCAGAAGATTGGAGGCAAATGGCACCTCCTCCAATTCTTCGTGCCTCAGCTAGTCGTATGCTGGTCAAATCTTGGAAATAATCCAGGGGTTTTGTTTAATACAATCCTGATTTCTAATGCCCACTGTGTCTAGTCTTTGCCACGTTAAACATAAGCCTTGACCACTGTTAGTCAGATTTTCTTATTTAACACATAGAGATCATGCGCTGTATGAGAAAACGTAACACTCCTTCCCATACATCCGAGATAAAACACTGTTCCACCTAAACTACAGCAGGTGATTTTTATGTAGCTGGGATTTGGTTTTATAACTTACTCAATGATGAAGAAATTGAAATAAATATGAGAATTTTAGTAAAGGAAAAATAATTATATACTTATTAGTGTATTTAAATATCAGGCAAAATGTAGAAACCATTCTAGTTTTATGAGCAAATTCCATTAAATATAAAGATTCTTATCTAGGTATTGAAGAGCTTACCCAGCAATGAGACTAAGTCCGAACTGTCTCAGGAAGGCATAACAGGAAAAGCGCCATACGTCTAGGAGAACAAACGGAGAGTTCAAAATCATTAAATTTATTGGCTCGTTGGACAGATCCTATGGAGATGAAATCTAGACTTCTATAAAAAGAACCCAGAAGTGATGTCTCTGAGATCAAGGGCGTCCTGCAGGCATGGTGGGCGACATCAGGCCTGGTTTTGTGAGCAACATAGGAAGGATATCAGCTGGAACACAGGCCTGTTTGGAGAGCAGGCTGTCATTGACAGGAGAAAGCTAATGGAATCCTGTAGTCAGCAAGTGTCTGTCTGTGGCCTGTGAAAGCTGCAGCCTCTTTTCCAGGCACACTTTCCACGGAGCCTGACAGGAAGAGAAGTGGATATGTTTGCTGAGTCTGAGGTCCAGAGTTGAAGATCTTAATGGAGCCTCAAATACAAAGAAGTAAAGGATATTATTATTCACCAACTTAGAGGAAGGGGGAGTTCATTGGAATGACGGAGATTTTCCCAATTCACACTCAAACACCAGAAAACCTCCAGAGTTGTGCAATGAAATTAGTGAATATATAGTTCAGAACTTCATCTAAAATAAAACTCCAGGCCCGATTAAGGTCACTTGTGAATTCACATGGACCTTTTCATAATATACAAGAGGTAATTCTTCCCAGTGCGAGCCATGGTGCCAGCAAAGCTTTGTAGCACAAGGTATTATGTTAAAAGAAAACTTCACACCAATATCTCTCCATGATGAAAATACATAAAAACCATTCTTAACACTGACCGATCGAGTTACCATTTCAAACTCAACAACATGTAAAAGGTATCAATGATGATGGAGTTTAGGCCTGAGCAGCAAGCAGATTAAACATGTTCACAGTTGAGTATAATTTACCATGTTCAGCCTCTGAGAAAGATCATCATAGATTGGGTCTTGATAGAAAGAGACAAAGTTCTGAAAGAATCACAAATTCACCCTCCTTCAAATTGTCAGTACCGTTCCCATCATCACCCTAGCTTCACGTCAAGTCGGTGTACCACATGCGTGCTCAGACACAGCCTCATCCATCACTCTGTAAACAGCCTGTCACTTTGAAATCTGAACTTGTCATTCCTGCCTTACAGTGCTATTCACACCCTACAGATGTCAATCATAAGAAATGATGCTGTTCACGAGCAGTGCTCCTTATAACTGTCAGAAATGGAACCAGAATGTGGGGCTTCACATCTTATGAAAGACACAAGTTAAACACTAAGGGCCAAATTATTCAAAATCACTTCCAAGACCTTTCTTAAACTCCCCTTTGAGAATGTGACGTCACATTAAGTCTACGGGAGAAAAGTTTCCTGATTCCTCCCAAACTGTCCCATTTGAGAGTCAACAAAAATATGCTACCTTCTGTTAATACTTTCTATGAATCTGTAGGAAACAATTTGTAGGCAAGAAATACACCAAATTTTTGTAAAGTCAACAGTTATTGATATTTATTTTAATGATAAGTTTTCATTTTTATTAATACAAAATAATTTTAACAGATAGAATCCAACCAAATAAGGAGAGTGTGGAAACTGGCTTTTCAAATCGATTAATAAACAACTTAGTACTTTTTAAAAATCTTATCATAGAGAGGTTTGGTATACAGGTTTTATTCCTGGAAAAAACATGCAGTGTTTGATGCTATACAAGACCATATTTGTAAATCAGTTGTGAGATCCTGGAATTCGTAAAGTTTCCTGTGCCACTACAGCATGACTCTTTCATGGATGTGGCACATCAGTAATGATAGCAAAATAATGAGTGTATTGTTTTAACACTGAAGTTATTGATATTGTCATTTGATACCCCCCTTTGAAAAGGCAATGAGCTGGATGGAATACCTGATTAAAGTTCGATTCCTTTCTATTACGATGTATCTGGGTATCACATACACCAAACATTATTATAACACCAAGATGTTCAATCCTCTGAGGATTACAACATCAACTTCTACAGTGTGTGTCCAGTTGTCCCAACACCAGATATGATGGCATATATCTGAAACTAAACCACTTGGTAAACTAAATCAGGAGGATCTTGAATTCAGGATAGCAAGGGCTATACAGACAGACTGTCTGAAAATAGAGATAGACAAATAATAGGAGAAAGAAAGAAAGAAAAAGAAAGGAAGAAAGAAAGAGAATATATATACATATTTACAGAGAGAAAAAAAAATATATATATATATATTTACAGAGAGAGATGATAGATAGATAGATAGATAGATAGATAGACAGATAGACGATAGACAGATAGATAGATAGATAGATAGATAGATGATAGATAGATAGATAGATAGATAGATAGATAGATAGATAGATACAGACAGACAGACAAACACACAGACAGACATACAGAAAGACACACAAACGTATATAAATAGATGACTGAGCAGTGAGCTGAGGTAGAGAAGCTGAGGCTGAATCATAGTTGCAATAATCTTGGGAAAATTTAGAGTATAAAATGTTTACAAAAAACACCCTAATTTCTATTTTACTCAGAGCATCTACTATAAGGCCCATTAGAACATCAAGAATATTAATTTTCAGTAGTTACTTCCATTTAGTCATGAAAATGTATATCTTTATTCCAGTAGATCTAAAGTTACATAAACTATTAAACAAGAATCCATGTTATTCCTCAGTTAATTATATGTGCATTTTAGTTCTATATCATAATCCAGAGTCAGCTAAATAATAAAAGGTCTCTACCTTAGTAAACTAGACAGGTGTGTGTGTGTGTGTGTGTGTGTGTGTGTGTGTGTGTGTGTGTGTGTGCAAACAAATGCACACTCTGGTAAAGTAATGTCAAGGCAATTCAAAGCAAATTTGTGCATGTTGTTTGTAAACTCTAGATTTCATACGAGATTTTAACTTGGCTCATGTTCATCTGATAATATACTTGTGTGTTATTACCCAAGATGTAGTGTTCTCAATTTGAATACAGAGTGATAGAATTTTCAAGCCATGAATTTAACATACTTCCCAAACACTGAAATGTTTGTTTGGATTCCTCCCCCTTATTCCAAATTAATGTAATTAGAAGTGCAATAGTATAGTTCACAGATTAAAGTTATTCATTTCCATACAAATTTCCTCCAGTTTCATATGACAAGGCACATGAGATACTGGATAATAAAACAGAAAGTCAAGTAATTGCCATTAGTTAACTTCAGCTTTTATGCTACAGGATATAATTGTCCAGAAACGTAATTTTCTTTTTATTGAGGTCAAAACCAAATTTGAGTATAACGGAAAAGTTCACGAGCAAAGTTTTTCTGATTTAAATGGTGTTGTTTGGCTTATTACTACAAAAAGAGAACAGAGCACACTTAGAAGCAGCCCTGTCTCTGGAACGGCCATGTCAGCACACTGACCCTTCCAGAGATAACTTGTTGCAAATAACAGTGGGCGGAGCACACAGCCTTTGGTTTTGTGCCTGCTCTCAGCACACCATAGTCTGAACCATGCAGACCTCCCAAGTTGGACCAAGTTCTACTCAAGAAGTCATTTTGAAACAGTACTCCTTCATTTTGCCAACCAACATATGCACACATTATGTTAACCCAGGGCATCTTAAATATTTTCTGACAACACTTGCCTTTCTTCAGCTGTTTTTCCATGAGATTTCAAGAGACTGGATTCCTGACTTCAGAAAAGCAGTGTGACCCAAGTTCCTCTTGTAGCCGGTAAGATTGAGATAGACACACAAACTTCTCCTGCACCATTGAAACTGCAAGCTTTATTTATAACTTATAAATATTCAACTTCAGAGTAAGTATTATTCACCTATAATTCTGTATTTAGCAACTGCACTTTTGAAATATTGACCTTAATTATTCTTCCCCAAACATACTGTTTTAAATCATTTATTTCTTTAAACTGACTACAGAATTAAAATAAAATTGTAAGTTGATCTGAGGACACAAGACCCTCCACTGCCTTGGTTGTAGTTATGTCTTTATTTACTCCTGCATCTGCAGCTTCATCCACTCAGTGTGGCTATGGAAATCACCCAACAGTCAAGCAGGATGGGATGTGATCACACTGTAGAGCAGGAAGTCTAGGTATCCCAGTTACTTAGTGATTTAGAGGCAAATCTGGGCTGCACAACAATACAGGAAACATTCATATGTGAAAGGGCTGGGAAGGAGAAGCGCACAACCACTGATCTGCAGTCCCAATCCTTTTTACTCTAAAAAATAAAAAGGCTCATTACTCAACCAAGTCCTCAGCTTCCTCTATAGACCTTGTGAGCCTTCAGTTTGTGATCCACCTGCCTTAGCTTCCATGCTAACTCTGATTACAGACCTTCACAAGACTCTGAATTTTTATGTGGTATCAAATTTAGTCTATAACCAGTTTTCTATGAATTCAAGACCTCCCCAAATGAGTATATTGTTATGTTCAATTGTATCTTCTACATGCAGCTTTCATCGTTTGTGATTATTATTACTATTATTATTGTTGTTGTTGCTGTTATTAATTTATTCCATCTGGGCTTTGGGTTAAAATTTGTGACAATGTTATGAAATAGAACATAACTACAATGAATGCAAATATATGAAAGATGGTGATAGAGCATACACATACACACACACACATACACATACACACATACACACACATACATATACACACATACACACACACATACACACACACATACACACACATACACACACACATACATATCAGATGAAGAGCCTCACTTCAATTGTTGTCTTATATTTTGTTGTTGCTTTTAGACAGGCTTTTGATATGTAGCCCTTGTTTGCCTGCAACTCACTATGTAGACCAGATGGGCCTTAAACTTAAAGAGATTCATCTACCTCTGCCTCTGAGTGCTAAGGTCAAAGGCATGCTCCCCAGTCATCCTAAATCTTACTTTTTTTTTAGCATATTTCTATATGGATGATTCTTTTAGGAAAGAATTTATTTTGCACTTTTTTTTTCTTCTAAGGATTTCTGAGCAAGAATTTTTGAATGCTCCAGCACTGGTGATTTTATACCTCTTCATCATCAAAGAACAAGTTCATATGACAAGACACACAGGATACTGTGCCCAGGTTTGTATTCTGCACCACAGGAAATATTTAGAGCACTTATGTTGGCCACACCTTTGAGAACAGTGTGACACCGAGGTCCTGAAGCCCAGAGCAGGCCAAATGTGCCACTCCTCTGAAGGCCCTGAGCAGGCTCCGTCTGAGTGAAATTATCAGCCTGTCATAAGGAAGCAGATCATGGAAGCCCTACCCACATCATCTCTGCTGACTGAGGTGGCAACTCATGTGAGAATTTCCATCTCTACACGTAGAAGCCAGAAAAGGTAGGACCTGTTCCAGATAGAGAGAGGTAAAATAGAAGCCAGAAAAGGTAGGACTTGTTCCAGATAGAGAGAGGTAAAATAGATTAGGCTAAAGTTGAGATGTTTCACTTGTGTAGGTAGACAAATTAGAGATAAAGTTTAAACAATAAAAATGATCTCATAATACTAGACAATGATTTTTCAACACACTTTTCTCTGTGTCTCCAGTATATATTACACTACATTACTGAAGTTCATTCATAGCCATCTTCCT